TCGCGTAAGCCAACACAACCCTACAACATCCAGAGCCTTAAGGAACTCCGGGCTAATCTCATCCACCCCTGGGGCCCTGCCACCGAGGAGCTTTTTAACTACCTCGGTGACCTCAGCACCAGAGATTGAAGGGCCCGACCCAGAGTCCCCAGGCTCCGCTTCCTCAGTGGACGATGTGCCGGTGGGATTGAGGAGGTCTTCAAAGTATTCTGCTCACCGACCCACGACATCCCGAGTGGATTTCAGCAGCACACCACCCCCACTATAAACAGTGTTGGTGGTGTACCGCTTTCCCCCCCGAGACGCCGGATGGTGGACCAGAATCGTCTCGAAGCCATGCGGAAGTCATTCTCCATGGTCTCTCCGGACTCCTCCCATGCCCGAATTTTTGCATCAGCGACCATCTGAGCCGCATGTCGCTTGGACTGCCGGTACCCATCAGCTGCTTCCGGGGTCCCACAGGCCATAAAGGCCCAATAGGACTCCTTCTTCAGCCTGACAGCATCCCTCACCGACGGTGTCCACCATCGGGTTTGAGGCTTGCCGCCGCAACAGGCACCGACAACCTTGTGGCCGCAGCTCCGGTAAGCCGCCTTGACAATAGAGGCATGGAACATGGCCCACTCGGACTCAATGTCCCCTACCTCCCCCGGAACATGTTCAAAGTTCTCCCAGAGGTGGGAGTTAAAGCTCCGTCTCACAGGAGACTCTGCCAGACGTTCCCAGCAAACCCTCACAATACGTTTGGGTCTGCCATGTCTGACCGGCATCCTCCCCCACCATCGGAGCCAACTCACCGACTCACCACCAGGTAGTGATCAGTGGACAGCTCCAACCCTCTCTTCACATGAGTGTCCAAGACATGTGGCCGCAGATCAGATGAGATGATGACAAAGTCGATCATCGAACTGCGGCCTCGGGTGTCCTGGTGCCAAGAGCACATATGGACACCCTTATGCTTGAACAAGGTGTTTGTTATTGACAATCCATGACGAGCACAGAAGTCCAACAACAGAACACCACTCGGGTTCAGATCAGGGGGGGCGTTCCTCCCAACCACACCCCTCCAGGTCTCACTGTCATTGCCCACATGAGCATTGAAGTCCCCCAGCAGAACAAGGGAGTCCCCAGGAGGTGCACTTTCCAGTACCCCCTCCAAGGACTCCAGAAAGGGTGGATAATCTGAACTGCCGTTTGGTGCATAAGCACAAACGACAGTCAGAACCCGTCCCCCCACATGTAGGCAGAGGGAGGCCACCCTCTCATTCACCGGGGTGAACCCCAACACACAGGCACCAAGATGGGGGGCAATAAGTATGCCCACTCCTGCTCGGCGCCTCTCACCAGGGGCAACTCCAGAGTGGAAGACTGTCCAACCCCTCTCAAGGAAACTGGTTCCAGAGCCATGCGTAGAGGTGAGTCCGACTATTTCTAGCCGGAACCTCTCAACCTCACACACCAGCTCAGGCTCCTTCCCCACCAGTGAGGTGGCATTCCATGTCCCAATAGCCAGCTTCTGTAGCCGAGGATCAGACCACCAGGGTCCCCGCCCTCGGCCACCATCCATCCCACATTGCATCCGACCCCTTTGGCCCCTCCCACAGATGGTGAGTCCATGGGAAAGGGGACCCACATCTCCTCTTCAGGCTGTGCCCGGCCAAGCTCCATGGGAAAATGCCTGGCCACGAGGCGCTCGTCCGCATGCCCCACCTCCAGGCCTGGCTCCAGAGTGGGGCCCCGGTGACCCATGTCCGGGCAAGGGAACATTAAGTCCAATTCTTTTATTCATCATAAGGAGGATTGGGCAGCACTTTGTCTGGTCCCTCACCTAGGACCTGTCTGCCTTGGGTGACCCTACTAGGGGCGTAAAGCCCCTGACAGCATAGCTCCTAGGATCATTGGGACACTCAAACCCCTCCACCACGGTAAGGTGGCAGCCAGGGAGGGGTATGAAGACATGGAAGTTATTTTTACGCTGGATGCAATTCCTGACGCAACCACAGACACCGAGCTACCACAGTCCTCTGTGTGGAGCAGAGAGCTTCTATCTAGGACACCCAGAGGAGCAGATGGTGGGTGTTAAGGGCCTTGCTCAAGGGCCAGAGTGGGACGAATGAGGGTGGGGGCAGGTGTGGGTGCTTCACCTACCCCACCCACATTCTTGATGTTGGCGGTACCGGGGCTTGAACCGGAGATCTTTCGATCACAGGCTCACCTTCTCTAACCTTTGTGCCACCACTCCCCATATATACATACATTACTATAAATACATATTACTATATAAATATATATTACTATATATACATATTACTATATATACATATATTACTATATATGCATATTACTATATATACATATTACTATATATACATATATTACTATATA